TTGTACAAACAATTTTAAACCTATCTTAGTTATGATTATAACTCAAGATCGTGGATAGAATTCAGAAATACGGACCCGCTCTAAACGTCAATCTTGGATATTCCAGTTGAGTTCGATCACGTCTGAAATATTACCATATTTTCTGCAGAAATGATTTAGTTCTGTTGAATTAAATTCTGAATGTACTCATTTGGAATCCTAATATTGTATTGTTATGCATTGAAAACTTACCCTATATACTGAGATTGAATGGGTCTGTGAGTGATGCTTCAGCAAGCCTTCCAATGTAGCCATTATTCAGGACTTTCTTGTTGATTAAATTATTCAACTGGCCGTACCAGCACGCAATTAATGCACACCTACTGGCGCAAATAAGTTCTTTATATAGTCTGGCGATCGTACATGTCTCACTTTAAATAGTCTGGCGATCGTACATGTCTGACCACGATTGCTCTAGTTGGCCAATAATTGTCAGCTAGACATCGTCGCCTAGACGCTCCTGTGTGTTGCGGAGGTTCTTCCTCCTACAGCCAGTTTTTGCTGCACGCCTCATTTGGAGATACCGTCCCTGACCTCCAGCTCCAGTCAAGCGATATGCGCACGACTTGCCAAGATTTCTTGTTTACTCTTTGCCCTATCGATTTGTTACATTGGAAATAAAAAAGCGCCAGCTATGAAAATTGGAAACCAAACCAGCGGCCGAAATAATAATGTTCTTCTTCACTAATTGATTGGTTTTGATCTTCATCTGCTTCAATCTACTTGACCACTTTGCAGATGGCTCATTTGGGTCATACTATAATACTATCATGCATGAAAAACTAGGTTGATTTTAGACTTGCGGTCATTCTAAGTCTTAGGTAGGTAGCGCATGTTTTAGAATTGACACAAATACAATCCTCTAATTATGTTTATAGTATTGGTATTGTAATTACATTTGCTGTAATTCACGAACTTGATTGTTCGAGCTTTTCAATTCGAAGCCACACAAGCGGATTTTTATACGCAAGCCTAAAAGTTCTATATCCTCAATTTCAATCATCGTGCCTTTTTTGCAACTTGGAATAGCGTCCGTATTTTATCTAACTTGTATAGAATTATGAGCCTCTATTTTTTGTGTACACTCTATAATGCAAAAATAAGATCTTCCTCGCAGGGCAGAAGACGTACAGGAACCCGAGCCGTACTAAGAGCCTGCTCTCCTAACAAGGCGGTCAGCGCAATTATGAAGGCTTGACCTAAAAAGGGAAGTGTCTGTTCCTATCCCGTGCAATAAAGGAATGATTCTTGTGTAAGCCAGGCAACTTGTTCTGCACGCTTTGATGCGCTCTCGAAGGTTTTATCATGGATGCTTTTTTCAATTGTCTGGTATTGTGTTCTAACCACGGAGTTTAATTGCCATGAGAGTTTTGCGGTTTAAGAGGCATTTTAAAAAGCGACTGTGAAAATAAATGTGTAGAACTTTTTTTGGCATCATGTTTAATTTTGTGAAAGATTGTTCGATTGTTTACACATTGATCTCAGCAACCACTGTAAAATTTGTAAAAATCGACTGAATTTTTGGAAGTTTCTTAGCGAGTACTAAGAGACAGCTCCTGTCGGGAAGACTGTCAAATGCTGAGCTTGAGGCTGTGATTTTTAGGCCTCGCTTTGTAAGAGTCTCACTAGGCACATGCGTCTCTTCACTGCAACAACTATAACCCTTTCTTTCGTGTTTGTCACCGCTACAACTAACCCTTTCTTTCGTGTTTGTCACCGCTACAACTAACCCTTTCTTTCGTGTTTGTCACCGCTACAACTAATCCTTTCATTCGTGCTGGTCATTGCTACAACTAACCCTTTCATTCGTGTTTGTTACTGCAAAACTAATCATTTCTTTCGTGTTTGTCACCGCTACAACTAATCCTTTCATTCGTGTTTATCACTGCAATAACTAACCATTTCTTTCGTGTTTGTCACTGCTACAACTAACCCTATCTTTCGTGTTTGTCCTTGCAGCAACCAACCCTTTCTTGTTTGAGCGTATCGTTCCTGTTGGTGAAACATACGCGAAGAATATTGCACATGTGGTCTGTGCAGCTCGTTGCTGTTTGAGAAACGCGCGTGCTGAGATCGCGCAACAAATGTGCGGAAATAATGAGACTCCGACTAGTCCTTGCGGCTCTAGTCCTTTTCAAGTCTTTGTGGCTCTAGAAATTTTGCTTATTGACACTTTGGACGTGATGAAAGTTTTTTTTATCAAATAATGGGTTGGTTATTGATTTTTCAGCTAAGTGATTTGTTGTAAACGACTTATTAAACCTTCTTGTGCATCATTGAAATTTCTGCATAAAATTGTTATGCCTTTACGGAAAATTGGGTTTATTTAATATTATCTACAATCTTAAGCGACGATGCATGCAAACTTCACATCAAGAAACGCCGAAATTTTAATTTTGGATGAAAATTAAATGAGTTGATAATTTAATCAATAGCTTTAAACTTTTATTGATCCAAATCTTAAGACTCCTGTTTTTTGTTCCGAACTATCGAATGTGCACTTCGTTCAAAATGAGTTGAATATATTTATAGTGCATTCATTGGCATTTGTTGGTAGTATTGGTAAGGAATGACAAGCTTCTAGAAATCCAGATGTTTGAGGCTCACTTAGCTGCGAAGTAATATTTTGAAGCTTTCTGCACAAATCTAAATTATACGAGTTAATAAAGCATAACGTATTCTTTATGGACATGGTCTCAGAATCGCTTCAAAGCTGCGACCGTTCCTTAGATCTGTAGGTCAAAAGAAGGGTTTGATATTTGGTGGAAGGGTTGCGTTCCAGGACTTTTCTACTGTCGTTGATCGTGCCTTTTTTGTTACCATAGCTCTTGTCCCCTTGTGGCTTTTTTTGATACTAGATTTCTTATTTATTAACCAAATAATTTTCAATAAATCGTGCTGGTATAGTCTAACACTGAATTCATTGTAAGCCAAATCGTCCTGCTTAAGTTTAATTATATTCATTGCATTATTTATTTTCGATATTGCAACTACATTATTCATCCTACTGCGCGAGTCGCTCACCAGCTAGGTTCCAGGAATTTCTCAGTTTGCGCAAGCCTTCGCTTCCTGGAAACAGTCGTGTCTCGTATCTCATTACTCTTATTTTTCTACAAAAATCGAATGTTTTAGTTCTCCTGTCGTTTATGTTCGATCGGAGTGCAATGTTTGGGTTGATACTTCTTGCTGTCGAAGTGGCGTTAGATGCGAATAAAATAATGCTGAAGCTTGATGCAGTCGTTTTGTAAAAAGCAGGAGGTACAAATTCCTAGCGAAGGACTAAGTGCATTAACGGTGAAACTGCATCAAGCATGTAACGCTAGCCTTCATTTCATTCCATCGCCAATACCGTCTGATGTTCCGAGACGGGAAGACACGTGTTGGTACACTCAGAGTGTCTCGGCTAGGCTTCAGGCTGGCATGAATCCAAAATCTCGAGGCATGTTCCAGCAGCTGTCCGGTAACAGCGGACACTTGTTCTCGATAAAGCTTGACGATTCATTCTAAACTCCAAAATAATTATCAGAGTTTGGGAATAAATTTAACCGTCAAAGGCTTCCAAATTCACTTTATTTATTTATTATGTTTATTATTTACGATTCAAAATATTACAATTACCAAGACTGATTTTTGACTATGAATAATTACTATACGAAAATGATGACAACGAGCATCGTCTGTGGGCTGTCAAAGTGATACTATCTTTATGCTGCATGTTTACAGGGAAGTCGAAGCCACTGATATATAAGCTGGGAAAGAAATGAAGGGACAGCGAATAGCATCCCAGAGCTGTACTTTTTCTTAGGTCATAAAGTATTCACATGGCCACTGCATGTTGATGCGAGCGCACTGAACGTTTACTCCGACCGTGCTAGTCTTTCTCTAACGCAAAGTCTGCAAATCCTGTAAAATGATTGTCGCGGTGCACGCTCGCATGGTGGTGCATTGCGGAATTTTGTTGCAAGTAATATTCTCATAATGGAGCTGAAAATAACATTCATATTTCGTAGACTCCCGGAAGAAATTTAAAGCTTATTTGCTTCGAAACGTTTCTGAGAGTAACGCGTCAACATCAGTTTTATCAGCGCTATCTATGTCGAATCCTTATCTAACACTCGAGATAAGGTGAACGCCGAGTTCACTGGCATAGTCTTGTTCATATTTTACGTTATTTATTTCAACTACGGTCAAATTTAATTATTGATGAACGTTGTGAAACTTCATTGCTTGTCTGCAACTGAAACGCTGCATTTTTTTGTCACTGGTAGTGTAATGAATATTACCCATTCATCGACTTGATATTATCGTAATATTTGTCCATTATAAGTAAGTCGGGGCTTGAAAAAACTGCTTCTATAAAAATAATTTATGTTGAGGGCATATAATTTATATTTTGAATGTTACACTAACGTCCCACAGTCGCTATCAACGGAATTCCTGTATTGTGCCTGCGCCACTCAAATGGTGAAAGCGCTTCTAGGGGAACTAATTTTATGAAGCAAATACCTATGTGACATATAATTGCCAATTACAGCTTGAGTATTTGAATTCTTGTGTAGATGGCTCTGCGCTCTAAACTTGATGGCTTTTCCAGCTGGGGTTAAACATCGAATTTTTCTCATCGAGGTCGCCTCCAAAATGTTTTCAATGAAGATATGTTGAATTTGCTCGACGTTTTTTGCTTTTAAATTCTTGGTGAACTAGCTATTTAAACAGACTATTAATACGAGTACATATAGAAACAATATGATATTGTGTAATTATTTAATTATTTATTATTCATATTATTATCATTATTGTAATTTCTACGCCAAACCATCTCTTAAGTAGTTTGCGTTGTAAAAGCTTTGTGATAAGGTTTGTTGCTATTAGACAATACTATGTTCTATTATTTCGATGCATGTGTTAAAACACTGTAGAATTTCAGGTTTTTATAAATACTCTAAAAACTTGTTTTTTGCAGGTATTAATTGTGAGTGTGCAGTGATTGACATTTTTTTATTTATACATGAACTTGGAAAAAAATGAACTCGAAACATTTGAAATAGTGACCTGTTAAGTGGAGAACTTGGGAGCTGACGGATTTAATTTAGTGTAGAAAAATTCTGATCTCGTTCCATTGGTAATTTACATTAACTTGTCCCGCGGACTCGTTGAACAGTGGGTAGACTTTGTGCATCGTTCTAGGGTTGATTTGGGGATCAAGCATCGGCCCACGAGCGATCTCTGTTGACAAAGCGTTGATACGTCACCGGACCATCTTCTCCTAGCGGTGCTCCGTTCACAATTTCATAGTTTCATCTTTCAACGGCGAGTTATCTTCACTCTTCTTCAACCGTCGTCCGTTTGCAGGTGAGTAAAAACTTCATGTCGATACGTTTGCATTTTTACGATCGCTTAATTATTGTTTGCTGCTTTATCCAAGTGGAGTAGTTCTTTTAATGATGCTCTCACTTTATGTAGGATGATATTAATTCAGGCTCAATTTTCTAAACTTGGGCTCAATTGCGAGAATTGTTACCAACAAATTAGCGTATAAATGACTTTTTTAATATTCATTCTTGATTTCGCCTACATTTTCATTGTAATTTTTGAATTAATCTCAAGGTAATAAGTGATGCATGTCGACATTCAAGTTCCTGTCTTAGTTTCTCCAGTAAGTCCGAAAATTTTCAATTATAGCATACTCGGCATGGCATATATACGGCATGGCATATATACGGCATGTCATATATACGGCATGACACATATACGGCATGGCATATATACGGCTAGAAACGGATTTGATCTGTGCCAATCTTTAGTTGAAAATTTTCATCGCTTGTTGGAAAGGATGATCGATGAATGTCAGACGGGGCCAATCTGATCAAAATGTTTTCGCCCAACGTGGGGCTCGAACCCACGACCCCGAGATTAAGAGTCTCGTGCTCTACCGACTGAGCTAGCCGGGCTTGCTCTATAGTGCAGAGTGGGTCAATAAATTCACAACAAATGCAGAAAATGCAAGACTGCAATTTTAAAATTTAATTTATAGGATGTTGGAAATGATCACTTTCTGATTAAAGTATTAATTTCAATTACTCGCTTCGTTATCCTCGTGCTTAATATGCGCTTAAAACATTAAGACCTTACGTCAAAGCGTGATTAATTAAAAAGAAGCTATTTTGGTGGTAAGGCCTCCCTGCCTGCCCAGTCAGCACAAAAGGTCTTATCCATGCAGACTTGACACGTGCTCTACGGGCTCGAAATAAACGTGATAACCTCCCCCCCCTCTCTGCCCCGCTCTTCCTGCTGTCTTACGTCGCTGTGATGTGCATAGAGAAGCAACATGCGCTACACGAGGAGTTTGCTGTAGCATCGGCGCCCAACACTTGGTAAACATTTACCTTCACACAAAGCTTCACCAACATTGCGTGGGATGCGGCAAACGGTAAACGTTTACCTCGACGTGAAGCTTAATTAACCAACATAGCGTGGGATGAAGCAAACTTTAAACGTTAACCTCGACGTGAAGCTTAACCAACATTACGTATGCCATAGACGTACACTTGATACATTTCAATCACCGTAAATGAACCCATTCATCTTTTCAGTAGAAACTTGAAATTCGACTTAATTTCGATCGAAATAATAAACTCAAAATCATTCCTGAGAAAATTTTAAATTTGACATTTAGATTTGAAGCTTGAGATTAGACATGGCACATTTGTAAAATTCTACGCAGCGTTCATCATTTAAATTTTATTTCTAATTTGATTATTGTCAGAAGTGAATCAAGATATTCATTATCTTTTTAATTGAAACTCTACATACATCTTCATTTGCATTGAAACTACACTTCATCATTTTAATCGAATATCAATCTTAATTATTTAAATAAAGTGAACATTCTTGATATGAATCGATACTCAACATTCATCATTTTATGTATGATGTAGAACTTTGATGTGTATGCCGAAATTATTAATAGGCGGCAACTACGGTGCAACAATGCTGCATGGCGGTGTCGTAGAAATTTAACTGTCCATGGTGCCGATCTATAAAAGTTACTTCAGCCACTGAGCGCTCATGTTTCAAGGTGAAATTATTGATGAAACATATATTCTGTCTTAAATATCATGTTAACATTGTACTTTTGGCAACAAGCCCGGCTAGCTCAGTCGGTAGAGCACGAGACTCTTAATCTCGGGGTCGTGGGTTCGAGCCCCACGTTGGGCGATTATTTTGAGCTGTGAACTAAAATGTGAATAAATTTATTAACCTTTGAAGTAAAACCTATTAGGTATTGTGTCCTTAGGTGAGAGAGCGTTTATGGAATGTGTCCATGCTTAGGTACAATTTTATTACCGGTTAAAAAATTGCTCTCAACGTGGATCTTGATACCACGGCCTCGAAAGCAAGAGTCTCATTGTCTAGTGTTTACGGACTGAGCTAGCCGGGCTGTAGCCTCTCGTTACCACTTCTTTATACTACTTAACGTCGCAAAAGTCAATTTATCGTAGAACAAGCATATGTAAATCCATCTCATTTCTGAACATTTTTTGCCTGTTTTAAATGCCATATTTTGATTACGACTTGAAATTTGAATGGAATTTGTTTCAGTCTTTCAGATCGCCATGATCGGATGCTTTAAGAACACCGTAGGTAGTCATTTTGAAGGTTTTCAAATTACATCGCGTATCATCAACACGTCAGATCTTCCTCATGGAAATTCAATGTTGGGAATTACCTCGCCGTCCCGTAGACGTGTTGGGCAAATAGTGACGGATGGCTTCTATTGCTCGCATCAATCTTGATTGCCAGTGCCCTGTATACATTCCACCTTCCCACGGTCTCTCGCGACCGTGTAATATAATATATTATAGTAATAATAATAATGATAATAGTAATAATAATAATAGCGGTTCAGCGTTTATTAGGCCGTAGGCCTGTCGCCGATTCTCGACATCGCAGAACATTCACAGAATTATGAGGTCTCGAAGTCGCTACTCACTGCATCTCATCTCATGCATATTTAAACTAATATATTTGGTCTGATTTCTACTGTGCTATTCCTACCAGGTCTATGATTGTCCAAGCGATTTATTTTCTCAACTCCAGTACGCATGAGATGTCGTTCTGCACAGCTGCAGCACTGCACAGCTGCAGCACTGCACAGCTGCAGCACTGCACAGCTGCAGCATGCACTGCACAGCTGCAGCACTGCACAGCTGCAGCACTGCACAGCTGCAGCACTGCACAGCTGCAGCATGCACTGCACAGCTGCAGCACTGCACAGCTGCAGCACTGCACAGCTGCAGCACTGCACAGCTGCTGCAGCTGCAGTTCGCTTAAAGCAGCACAGGTGTTCTGGCTGAGGCAGAACCGAGCGGCCTCGCGGCGACGCTGCTGCCCAGGCCGCCTAAAGCGCGGTCACTAAATCTCTATAATTCGTCTTATAATATACTATATGGCTTAGTTTACATATGACGTGTCATTATTAGCATCACATTGTACAGCGCACAACTTCGCAGAATGTAACACAATGCATGAAACCTCACATCTGTCACGACGTATAATATGAGACCTCACACAGTACACGAAGAAATGTAATAGTATCTGTAACAGAAAATTATAGGCATTCAAAATCTGAATTCAATCGTTGAGTGGAGTCGTGCGATGCGCGTGGTGCGCGTGGTGCGCGTGGAGTCGTGTGGTGCGCGTGAAGTCGTGTGGTGCGCGTGGTGTCGTGTGGTGCGCGTAGAGTCGTGTGGTGCGCGTAGAGTCGTGTGGTGCGCGTAGAGTCGTGTGGTGCGCGTAGAGTCGTGTGGTGCGCGTGGAGTCGTGTGGTGCGCGTGGAGTCGTGTTCAACACCGCCCTCACTCTCCCCTCTTGGGCAGCAAGCCCCCCTTCCCTGCATTAGCCCTCACCAGCAATACACGTCCCTCAGAGGCAATATTCCCTGCAATAATTGCATAGCCGTAAATCCGACTCACATTCGACTCCCGCTTCACTCCTCGACTCGCCAGCCGGCACGCTTTCTATACTCCAACAATTTCTCATAACTTGGAGTTAGTTTATTTTCATTCAAGTCAACTGATAGAGAAACTGCGCAAGTAGGACAGTAAAATGGTCCCAAATTGCGTTCAAATATTTTAGGTAGTTTTGAATTGAATATTTCAATATGTTAACATGTTTTGAATAACTTGTCATCTTAAGGAACCTCAGACTATTTTATTTCATAATTAATTCATGATCATTTCATTGCCTGTCATACACTACTATTCATTATTATTTACCTAATACATAATTTTTTGAGATCTAATCAGTATTACAATTTTATGCACCCTAGTAGTACAATAAGTAATCCTAATCCTGTAGTGAAGAATTCGTATCCTGTCCACTCTTTAATTATGTGATGAACGCGAGTTTGACGTGCCTTTTTAGCGCATTTTCTCATTTATGGAAAAAAAGCGCTATTGTGCTTGTCATGTCCGTCCGTGACTTCACTGACGTACGAGAAAATGCGCTCTCTGTCACTCACTGCAGTGAGTACTGATCTAATTTTTTATATCGATGCCCTGACAGACTCTTGGCTTGCAAAAGAATTAGGTCTTGCCGATTGCGTTCTCTGTTTCTGACAAACCTGTTACGCACCTGTGACATTATCACGACTTGTGATATCGGAAAGTCTGCCAGTCATCTACTGTAAGACACTAGTCGACCTTGTACGCAATTTGTTTGCCGCTAAAATTTTACCCAGAATGTTGAATTGGTTACAATGTACCGACCTTCAAAGTACATTGCATATCCAGGCTTCAATAAAATAAATTACAATATTTCATTTCATTGTAAATTAGAAGTATGTTATCGGTGAGTTGTAGGAATATGGCTAGTTATTAACCTGTGAATTGTTGATTATTCTGCTAATCAAATATGTTTTGGCGAACACGCGAGCTCTTGTGATTAACGACGCATTCAATGTGGTGTGTGGAGAAACACGTTCATAATGCGATAATGTTCTTAATTGTTCATTGTTGCTTCTAACAATGCAACGTACGAATAATATGCTATGCCTACTTTTTAATTGTGCTATTCGTATGAGCCAAGTTATTTTTGTGCATTAATTGGACGTACACGGATGCTTAGCATGGATTTGAACGCATGTCTGCGTGGCCGACATAAGCTAACCCAGGAGTAAACAAAACAATTTTTGCTCCCTCTTATAACCAAAGTTACGTGGCTTGTGTTTTCTTGTTGCGCTTGTGCCGAGAATTTGAAATGAACTTGACCTGAAGCTACCGATGCTTGTGTTGCGAAGCAAGACAGAGGGCACATTTTTCTTTGGATGGATTGATGTACATTAACAGTCGTATCCAAGTTGACGATTTAGCCATTCGATTGGGGTTTTAGTGTCAGGTTTATAAAGTATGACGCGTGTTTTTTATAGTAAAAGTGCTGTGTTGCGTATGGAATTGCATTCATGTATATATAGTCTGTTGTTCTTGGCTGACGAAGTCGTGAATGTTCCTCTTGCATCGACTGTAAAGTCACTTGATATATTGCCGTTCAGGAAATGAATTGATAAATGTTTCAAAATACTTTCTGAGGAAAGCGCTTTTTTCACCTAGAATTGTTGTTCCATTGCGTGAATAAAACAATAAATGGTGATAAATCCCAGAAGTGTTACCCACAAAGACTAGTTCGGCATCAAAATCTCCTTGTGTTTGGTCTCTTATGTGTTTTTCGTTTTGTGCCGCACGTCTTTCATCTACAAATTTTTCTTCGAAAGTTACGTTGTAAACGAATTTCAAACGAAAACTTTATATGAAATGTTCTTCTATTTTACTGTCAGTTCATAAGCTTGTTACCACGTATGCAGGCATGCTCTCCTTGTTAACGGATTCATCAACCGTAATAAATGCTGTTCCTGTACCCGAGGTATAGGGTTACGGCTTGGAGAAAAGGGGTTAAAATGAAGCGAGGATTTCCTGCCTAAAATACGAATTTTTAAATACTTCTAAAAGGTGAACCTATTTTCATATTTATCTAGAGTGTGGCTTCCGACAGTTTCAGTCACGTTGCATGCCAATTATAATGAACCAATCCGGTATCTAGTTATATTAATACTGCACATCAATAATTAAACATATTATATTTAAGTTAAGAATTAATAATAATGGAACAAATTATTCCGTTGTATGTACGCTTTATATGAATAATGATGAAAAATATTATCTAGTTATATATCCGTTGAGAATGAACAACAATGAAACTAATTATTTACTTATGTTCACGCTGCGTATGGATAATAACCTATCATATTCCTTGTTATTGCCGTGGGCAAATTCGTTTGCTGGCCCTTTGCCTGTTTGTGTGTGTATGTGTGTGTGTGTGTGTGTGTGTGTGTGTGTGTGTGCGTGTTAGTTTGTTTCTATTGATGTCGGTGTTTACTTGCATCGACCTGTAGTCCTGACATTCATGCCGGCATTCATCACTTGGCCAGGACGTGAACACTCAGCTGGTTATCAGTGCTGTTGTGTTGACCTACCGACGCCAACAGACTTTTTTCTCCACAACGAAGGGGTTTCGCGGCTACGCATTCATGTCGGGGCTTCTGCATATGGTGCTGCCCATATAGCCCGACGGTTGGCTGGAGGAATGAAGAATTAATGGCTGGCCCTCTGAAGAATGAATGGATAATGTTGTTCAAACAGTGGTAAAATTTCTGCATGTAATTATTATAGGTCCTTTTGCCTGGCTAAACTGGGTCAAGATGACTCGTACAAGGTTAAAAGAAATAACTCAGTACGGTACTCACTGTAGTGAGTGCCAGAGAGCGCATTTTCTCGTAGACGAAAACATGAAGTCACGGACGGACAGTCAGACGGACAGACAGACAGACGGACGGACAGTCAGACGGACAGACAGACAGACGGACGGACATGGCGAGCACAATAGTGCATTTTTTTCATAAATGAGAAAATGCGCTAAAAATGTCTCTGTTGTTGGTGTGAGATCATATGTTAAATTTGACATCGTTGGCATTACGGGATGTTCTTATGCTAGTTACACGTCAAGTTGTTGAAACTTGTGTTAATTGTCTTTTAGATTGCGAACGATTGAGAGTTCATAACCTGATTGATGCGTTGATAAATCATACATTATAGTTTGAATGAAAACCTTACTGATGCGTAACAAATGAGTAATGAGTATAATGTTACTCATGTATTGTAATTTTAAAAGTTTCTGTTTTTAAAAAGTAACGAGTAATATCAACTAATGATTATATGAGAAATATTAGTAAATTATTGTTTTTCTCAATATACTATTTCGCTGAGTCGGCAGGATGCATTACGCCTGCAGTTATGTCGCCTCCGTGGCCTAATGGATAAGGCATTGGCCTCCTAAGCCAGGGATTGCGGGTTCGAGTCCCGCCGGAGGTTGTCTTTTTATTACAGTTATCGAACATCCAATAGTGCGCAATGCATTTTCTGTGAATTCAAGGTCATTCAGAAGAGTCTCCAGTCGAATGTGATAGAAATTCGTGTCGTACATCGATCTTGATGAATTCTAATCTCGTAATTAACTCATAACATTAAATAACATAAAATTTTTACTGTGTTGTGGTCACCACCGCGTGTACGCAAGCAGTTTTACGCTCCCGCGTGTACGCAAGCAGTTTACGCTCCCGCGTGTACGCGAGCAGTTTTACGTTCCCGCGTGTATATACGCAAGCAGTAATTTACGCTCCCGCGTGTACGCGAGCAGTTTACGCTCCCATGTCTACGCAAGCAGTTTTACGTTACCGCGCGTACGCAAGCTTTTTAGTGCTCCCACACATTTGTCAGTTATTCAGTGTTCCTTGCAAGTGTTCGTTGACTTGTGAAGCTAAAGTTCACAGACCTACAAGGAACACTCATCCTAACGAGGGCTCGCGCAAAAACAACTTTGATGGCAAACGTCAACACGTTTGTTGTCATCACAATCATCGCTGGCCTTCCTTGCCGTGCAGTGTTTGTCATCCACGCAGTGTTTGTCATCCATGCAGCGTTTGCCACCCATGCAGCGTTTGCCATCCATGCAGCGTTTGCCACCCATGCAGCGTTTGCCATCCATGCAGCGTTTGCCATCCATGCAGCGTTTGCCATCCACGCAGCGTTTGCCATCCATGCAGCGTTTGCCATCCATGCAGCGTTTGCCATCCATGCAGCGTTTGCCATCCATGCAGTGTTTGCCATCCATGCAGCGTTTGCCATGCATCCATATGCAGTGTTTGCCATCCATGCAGCGTTTGCCATCCATGCAGTGTTTGCCATCCATGCAGTGTCTGCCATCCATGCAGCGTTTGTCATCCATGCAGCGTTTGTCATCCATGCAGCGTTTGCCATCCATGCAGTGTTTGTCATCCATGCAGCGTTTGTCATCCATGCAGCGTTTGCCATCCATGCAGCGTTTGCCATCCATGCAGCATTTGTCATCCATGCAGCGTTTGTCATCCATTTTGCGTTGTCATCCGTACTTTTTCATCCGATGTGTAATTTTTTTTACACTGTGAAAATAGTTAATTATAATGGGTGGTAATAAGGTTTTCCTTGGTTAATTAGGTATGGAAAGTTAGGTAAATTGTGTGTGAACACCATTTATCCCGAAAGATTTTCATTGTATCAGGAGGAAAGAAGATGGATTGAAAGTACTTTCGTGATAGAAAATCTTTTGTAAATGATTGAACAATTTTTAACTAGAAATTCCTCTATTGCCTTGGCTGTGGAGAACGTGCTGAGCAACATTTTATCTAGAAAAATAGTTGATGCTATAGCAAATAAATTAATGTTGACTTGTCAACTTGCAGAATCCGTTAAATTTCCAGTATTTACAGCTCACCCCCAAAAAATAAACATCATATATAGCTAGCAAAATTTTGTAGGGCAGAAAAACATCGCTTTTTAGCGCATTTTCTCATTTATGGGAAAAAATGCACTATTGTGCTCGCCAAGTCCGTCTGTCTGTCTGTCCGTCCGTCCGTCTGTTCGTCCGTCCGTGACCTCAAGTTTTCGTCGACGAGAAAATGCGCTCTCTGTCACTCTCTGCAGTGAGTACTGAGTTATATTTTTTGTAAAAAAATCTCGTTGATTTTTCTCAATGCATCTCTTCTTGCTGTGTGGAGCAAGCCTGGCTTGAGGTTCCATGCAGCTCGCTAAATAGAAGGGCTGGCATTGCCTTGCCAGCCGTGTCCGCTCTATTAACCTTGCTCAATACGTCGGCTGAACAATGTTATACTCGCCCTTGAATTACAAACTTACGAGGCTGAAAGAATCCTCGTCGAATTAATCACCGGTTTTATGGTCTTGCAATGGAGTCTGATTAATACTGACGGGGCTGCGTGGTGCGACTACAGAGATCTCCTGCGTTGGGTTTCGGTTTCTGGTCAATTTAAATGTTGATGCTTGACGATATTACTGCAATTTTTGATTAACTTTATTATTTTGAATAGAATTTTCATTAGGTATTATGCTGCATAATGTGGCAAAAACAATTTTTTTCGTTCTATCGCTTAACCAAGGCCATCTTTTAAAATTGTTTCATCAACGAATCTTTTGACCTTCCATCTGCACCTGTAATATAATCCCACTCCTCAAACACTTGTGGCATTATCTCTGGCATCAAACACTTGTGGCATACTTTCTTTATGACTGCCACCAGGCAGTTGCAGTAGCTGCAGCGTCATACAATCATGGTCTGCTCGGTGCTCACTCAACCGAGTCTGCCTATTAAATAAGTTGAGGTCGGTGGGATTGTGCACTAACTGCGGCTATTGCCTATTGGATCGCAACCGCTCTTATGCAGACGGGACTTGAAATTAGCAGGTGCGAGTTTTGTGTCCATCTTACTTCTACCGTCAAGCTAATCCGTCATTAATATAAGTTTATCATCACAGAATTAGTCATATTTTTTCTATTGGAATAAGTTTTAGTTTAATAAAAGTTGATTTCTTTCGAGTGCTGGGGCTACAGCACTTATAATCCTGAATTGTATTCCTATATTACAATAGGGAGATTAGATCACGTCGAAATAATACAGTGACTTCATGTATTTTGCATGGTGCTTATTTTCGTGGCTCCTATATAGAACGACTACGCTTGAGTAACTCTAAGATGCAAGGCAATTGCATAATTTAGATTTCATTTTGTTTGCCCATTTGAAGCTTGAATTAACTAATTTCCAGCCGGAAGCATAAGTTCTCACCTTTGGGAGAGCCGTTTTCCATGTAACTACAATACAAGATGCAGCTTTGTTCTTTTTCGACATTATAAAGCCAAATAAAATTCAGCGGCCTCAAGTCTTTCATCATTCAATATTAATATTCTCTATTTTAATCTAAACGTGTCATAAGGAGGCTCATCATCTCGGTACAAAATTGTGCTTCAAAGGATATGAAGGTATGAATATGCAATTCAAAGTATATGCAATTTTTACGAATGGATACGCAATTTAATTTCGAAGTTGCATATTACACTACCTTATCTTAAATTGCTTAGAAATCATGCAGCGTTACAAGTCGAGCGACCAGATGTAACACCTGCGATTGCTGAGCTGACCTCATCCAGATCGAGGGCTGTCCCGACTGTCCAGAGATTATAGCTCGTCCAGTCACGCGCTGGATATTAACTTGATTATTCGGAGCAGTGCATGCATGATATACCGAACTGCAAATGACGGAGGCGATATGTAGGGAAACTCGGTTAAATTCGCGACGTCCTTGACCTGGATTTTCGTGAGGCTGTGAATGCAGTTAAACATTTATACGTTTCGTAGTTACAGATGCAGAAATATGTGTGCATGGAACTCACATTTTTTCTGTTTTCATCTTCCAATAAACACAAAAAGCGTTCAAATGGAGTTCTATGAATTCACTATCGAAATCTCAACGATGAATTTAGAGGGAATTATTCAACGAAACTCCGTATTAATAATTTTTTGGCGAATGAATCTTTTGGCGGGTATATTAATTGTTAACTTAAATGTAGGAAAGAGGAAAAACTGTCACTTTAGTGAAAGTTAACCACTCATTGGCATTGGCCTAAAGCAGGCAGACGTCGTGAAGCCTACATATATAAGCTTAATTTTTTTAGTGCTTATTTCATCAGTACGTTTTTTCGGGAAATTGTGCTCAAGGCTTCTTTGATTCCATAGGTTTGTTCTCATTATGGGAATTAATTAAATTGTTCATTTTACTCTGGTCTTTGTATGTTTAGGGCATTAAGAGGTTTGAATGTAGGCCGTGAATTATTAGTTTAGCTTCAATATTAACACGTTTGTTTGTAGACGTGATCAGCCCCGTTTAAAAATTTCATCTCGCTATATGAGACGATTGCTGATTATGAAATCGTTCATAAAAATGTATAGTTTTGCCTTCTTTTGCAGTTTCAATGCTTGGTTCACAGAGGTTCCGAAATACAGAATACTACCCTTAATGTCTTAAACTGTTCTTAAAAAAAAAATAAGTTGCGTCGTCAGTTTTATATACGTACCAACACATCAATTATATCGTCCACCGCATGAAACATCAGTTATTGCGCAAGATGTATGACGCATCAGTTACTCAGTTAGTTGCACGGCACATCAGTTATACCGACAGTTGCTTGGTGCATCAGCAGTTACACCGACAGTTGCTCGGTGCATCAGTTACACCGACAGTTGCACGGCACATCAGTTATACCGTTTAGTGTAGCCTTGACACAGCTATTTGTCCTCTCTGGAGAAGCACATCTCTTATCGCAGGGCTCGGGCTTCCTTTGTATGTATCTTATCGGAGAACTTTTATGCTGCTGCTGCCGGCCGTTTTATCTATTATTCCTAGTGCTGCACTTGCAATTGTTATTAGTGCTGATATCTCCTGCTGCTGACAGTTTTATCTAGTGTGGCAAGTGCTGAATGAAAACTTGCGAGTGCTTTCAGTGCTGTAAGCGACGCTGGTATATCTACTACTGCTAGAACTGATCATGAGCTGAGTGCTTAATTCTGATCATTATTACTCGACACTGTTACTTTAGTTCTATTTATTAATAAACCAGCAGTTATTTTTTGCTTGAATCAACGTTGAACCAACCGCCGTTCATGACGTTTGAATAATTTTGAATACTAGTTCAGAAAGAAAATTGAAGAAACGACATGCTTGCAACGTCGTGTTGACGTTGCAGTACAACATTTAATTGACGTTACTTGTACAATGTTGTTTCAACAGTAAAAACACGACGTTTAAATTTCATTGATATCTTGGCTTTGAAAAGTTAATCGACTATTTCAATGTGAATTGATGCACGACGGAATTACATTATTTTTGTTTCACCGTCCCTCCTCCCCACATTATATGAGCCTCGCATTACAAGTAACTACATTTCGAAAAAGCGCGATCTATATATATAGGTCCCTATAATTAAACCTCGTCTCTAGGACAATAATATTAACTGTTCTAAATCTAACAGTGATTGCTGGTGTTATTCGAACCACTGTGGTATACAGTGTAGGCATAAACAGCTAATATAAGGCTCGCCTTACTTGGATTTCTTCACTCAATTTGCTGAGCCGCTCGACTCTAGAGTTGCGTTGACAATTGATAAAATATACTGCAACAGGAAGACCCGTATCCTGATTTCGGTGTGGTAATCCTCTGTGTTTACATGATTTGTATTTTTTGTTGACAGGCTGACGAGGTATGCCACTCTTCGGCTCGAAGAAGGATAAAGAAGCGGCATCGTCCAAGCGATCAACCAAGAAGGAAGAGAAAGAACAGAAAACGCCCACCATGCAGGATAAATACATTCTCAAGGACCTCCTCGGAACGTGAGTTTTGATCCATTTTTATTGCATTCATGTGAGGTGTTGGAAATCATACTTAAAAAACCGCGAGTGAAGCAGGCTCGCGGAAACTCCGATTGCGATAGTCGTGTTTATTGTGTGCATTTAATATTCAAATAGAAGTGTCATCGTTTCTGTTATTCATTCTAATTTAGTTGTTCCCAGACCTCTCACATCTTTTCTCAATTTTATCATGCCACGATAAGCACTTTCCTCTTTACGAAAATGATGTTAACATTGATTTGTATTTGTGGCTAAATTGAAACCCGGGAGATATTTAATGTTTAGCCCCCATCATCACAGGTAAATTATACGTGTATATATGTATATAGTGCTTTTTGGGCTTGTCCGACTCTTCCTTCCTTTATGAGCACAGATAGGCTCTCAATCACGATGAAGAATAAAACGAATGGGAATTAAAAGACTCAAAATTTCCTATTTAAAGAGTACGTAATTAATCAAGTTCTGACGAGGAGAATGCTCCTTATTTCCGTCATAATAGATTTTCGCATAGATATTGCGTCGGAATCACAGTAAATACGTGTTGCGGATGCTACTGAAATGCTTGTTAAAGGCGAAAATCTGTCATCCGAATGAGATTAATTTTCGTGGTTTTGGGATATACATACTAAAGATTTAGTAGCGGTTTCATTCAAAATGGTGAATCGCATTTAATTACAATTATAATAATTATTCACAATGTGTTTAATATTGCGAGCAAGGAATAGTTTCCACGTTTTTTCAATGTTCAAGTCTCTTCTCGCTTAATTGATTAGACGTTCAAATTACCGATGAATCTATCACACAAGCTTGCTATGAAACTCGACATCCTTGGCTTTCATTTAATTTTTTCCTTCCACTACTTTACTCGTTCTTGATAAATGTCATCAAAGACGGGCCTTAACCGTACCAAGACGGCTATCCGTAATACAAAACCAATGCAATCTTCTAAAAACAGGATGGTGACGACTTTCAGGCTTCAAAGAAGCGAATGCTACAGCTTCTGCTTAGTCCGAATAGTTTAATTTTGCGTTTTCCATCAGCTCAAGCTCTCTATATATTTGACCCCGCCTGGCTCGACGCTATTTGATTTGCCGACACCAAAGCTGTCATGAAACAGCGCTTATATAGGCGTTATTGACGACTCGACCGATAACGCCCGAAAATCCTGAGAGCTGAATGAATCTATATTTATTATGTGTTCGTTTATCTTTATTCTGGTTATCACGATGCAATATTTTGAACTGTAAATCAGTTAAGGACATTAATACATACGGATTCTCTTTAAAGAAGTGAATATTTCGTGTAACTCACTTACTAGTATCTGACTGCGCTTCGTTTGATTGTGTTTCTTTTTTACTCCAGGATTTTCTATTCCAAGCAAACCATGCATCATACGATACAGTATTATTTGGTTTACTAAGGTGCGCGCTATTTTTGGTAACTTACAGCATCAAAATGTCTTTTATGTCGGTAGATGCATTGCAAAACGGCCTGTAACACATCATTCCTTATCCTAATCCTTTGCCAGGTAAGAAGCATAAGACACGTCCAATGAACCTATAATAAGCACTTGCTATCGCGCCAAATACAAGACTCTCATTGAACAATTTCTCACCGATAACTTGCATCCATTTCTGCAGGAAGGTTCGATCCCTGGCTGGAGGTAATATCCGTCCATCGACAGGCTATGCGCTCGACCGCATTTCCCTCCGGATATCAGAATCTATTACTTTCAGCACCAGATTAAAATTTCGTCGTTTTCTAATCCTAAATTCGCAGCACGGGAGCTCCACAATTTCACCGAAATTCATAGTGAATTCTTTTCCCAACCACTTTGGATTTCGAAATAAATATCAACGACGAATAATATTTCGGAGTGAGACACAAATTTTCTTTAATATCTCTTGGGTTGGCGGCAAGAACGTTTATTTTACTGGCATAAGTGGAGCCTGGAGGCCGCGGGCAAAGGCTCTGGCTCAGCGAACTTCTCTGGAATATCAACTGTTCTGCCGCACTCAACTCTGACCTTTGATACTGCTCTTCAAGCCTCTCTTTGCCCCTTCATTCCCCTCCGCGTTACTCCATGCCCCTCTACATGCCAACTTCATTTCACTCTTCATGCCACCTCCATGTCACTCTCCATGCCACTTTCATGTCACTCCATCACCATGCCACCTCCATGCTTCTCTATATCCCCTCTCCATTTCAACTTCATTCCTCTCTCAATGTCTGCGTATTCTACTTAACGTATTCTACTCAAGCATGCTCCTCATCCCTCCGCGTCCCACTATGTCCCTTCCACGCGCCCTAAACTCGTTTATTTTCTGTCCCTCCATTTCTTGCACTTCAACTTCATCCCGCAGCACCATCGCCTCAATCTACTGGCTCTCTCCATTCGCTCAACGCCTTTCATCTGCTGCTCGCTTCTCTTCATCAGGGCGCAATTCCTCTACATTTGCTGCCTCACTCCCTTTTCACGTTTCATTTTCCTGCTCTTCCACTCTCTTCTGGTCACGACTGCCATTTATCTCCTGCTCTCTCCCTTTTTTGGTGACCACTCCTTATCACTCCTTGCTACTCTCCCTCCTCTGGTTACCATTCCTTTTCACTCCCTTCCACTCTCCCTACTTTAACCGCCACTCATTTTCATCCCCTGCCACTCTCCCTATTTTGATCACCACTCCTTTTCATTCCCTGCCACTCTCCCTCCTCTGGTCTTCACTCATTTTTTATCCCTGCCACCAAACCTCTCCAAAGTACTTGCTACATTTCATCTCCCTCCTTATGTGCAACCCCTGGACAGCTGTATAATTTTTATATTCATCACCGTTTACGGTGTAGCAGTCCCTCCTCTCGGCAACAGGTCGTTTTCCGCTGATTCCCAACCAATAATTAATATAAACCAGTGTGATGTTTGCATACTAACCCAAGAATATCGTTTAATGAAACACAATTCCTTTAGGTTACGATATAAGATAATATGTGCTTGCCTCTTGCATGTGAAAGTTGCATTTGGACATCAGAGAGGACAAGATAATCTCGCAGGCAAGCGAGGTGATGCCGTCACAGCAGCCGTAGCCTCGAGCATCGCTGCGTGCGTGGAACCCTGGCTTATTTTCAAAAAATTGCAGCACTGCAATTTCGCGCTTCGTTAAATTTTCGCCCAGTTTTGTTGACGTGACGTGATAGATTACGCGTGTGTGTGGGCACTCGCTGCTAAATTGCTCATATATTTCCTCGTGTAGATGCCCGTGGACTGGAAAATTCTGTATACTTTTATAGTTACTAGCTAAATTAATTACGCCCGGGAAAACCTATTTTAGTGTCGATATGTTCATAAGTGATCCTCCATAAGAGCGCCCTTATTACCGATGGCAATGTCAAGTATATGGTTTATTTTGAAGACGCATTACAAAAATACAATATTTATGTTTATGAATTGTCGGCGATATCATACTCAAAATTACGTGTTTTTACCAATTATTAAATTACGTTTGATAATATTTGCAAATTGTATGCCAGTATATCAAGCTCATCACTGTCTCCTTGCATATGGCGGTACAAATGTTTATGTTTATGAAGAAGAGGTCAAGCTCCCTCCAGGGATGGTCGGGTAAAGGTTGCTCGCTTATGCTGGCCGTGAGCTCGTGTTGCCTGGCGATCAGCTGCCGCATTAGAGGGATTGTCTCCGCCTCGCTTCGCCCGTGAATTTCCTGGCATCGTCTCCCTAAAATAGCAATTTTTTGGTAGCAGGAACTTGATGTTGCAGCCTACTAATTGTGCAGTTACTCCTGTGTAATTATATTTACACATTTTCGAATAACATGAATACCAAAGAATGAAATTTTTAAGCAATTCCAACTTGAAAATTCGATTAATCTTTGTACGAAAACCGTAGTTAAATGTCACGAAGAATTTTAAGAAATAGCAAATCATTTAACTAGTGAAGGCTGCATGTCCATGCACTTTACTTTTGTTTAGGGTTGCACGTGGCAATGCAGATTAAAATGTTAGACCTTGACTTATCCCAGTCAAAATATTGCCGTTATTCAATATATAGCACGCGAATTCAACGGGTTGTAGTTTTTGCAGAAGGTTTAGATTATACCTTTGTATCTCTTGAAGATGTTTTCGGCAAAATAACTAAAACTTGCTCCGTAATAAACTCCATCGAATTCAAGTCCGGGAATTATACCGACTTGATGATTCTTGCAGTGACGGTGGACGTACAGAGGCCTATAGTGTTGTTCGCTAGGTGAACATCCTGCTGTTGTTCGCTAGGCGAACAGCCTAGTGTTGTTCGCTCGGCGAATATCCTAGCGTTGTTCGCTAGGCGAACATCCTAGTGTTGTTCGTTAGGCGAACATCCTAGTGTTGTTCGCTAGGCGAAAATGCTAGTGTTGTTCGCTAGGCGAACATCCTAGTGTTGTTTTCTAGGCGAATATCCTAGTGTTGTTCGCTAGGCGAACAGCCTAGTGAAGAACACCCCAGCCCTCGGTAATTACATGACCAGTCGAGTTGATTATTCTGGCAGCTGATGGTGGGGCGTGCAGAGATGAGGAAGTCCGTAATGAGATTGTGAAGAATTAGACGCAATCAAGCAATTAGGAGCCCGTCTCGCTAATTGGAAGAACAAAGCAACTGACACGATATTTCTTGTGGGGCCTTAACTGAACCCTCGCATCACAAGGAAAACAGGTGGTGACTTGGGTGTGATGAGGGTGGTGAAGTGTCGTGTTGTTTGAGGTATACTGTTGTGTGGGATGATGGCTTGTGTGTGATGATGATGTTTAAGGGCACTGTTGTGAGGGTGGAAAGTGGTGTTGACGCTGTTTACTTCTGTGAGATGAGAGAGGTCAAGACTGCGAGAGGTGGTGGGTAGAAGTGCAGTCTCGACATTATTGTCAATAACAATTGCCCGAGTATTGGTGCATGCTATACATTTTTTATCCACTATAATCCTCGGTTGGCCAACATAAGAA